TGTGATAAAACTAGCCTGGCTATAAGATTTACAAGCTGCTTATGCTCAAGAACCCTCCATAACTCAGCTACTTTCACAGTTATCTGTTAGCTCTACCGAGGGTCACTATCTTCTCAAAGATGGCGCTTATAAGGTACAAGAATAGGATCTGGATTGGTCCAATTCCCTCTCTACAAGCTAAGATTTTGACTGCCTTGCATAATTGCCATTGGAGGTCATTCCGGGTATGAGGTTACATATAAACATGTGAAGCAATTGTTTGCTTGGCCCAAACTCAAGCAAACTGTTCTCGATTTTGTTGCTCAATGTACAATCTGCCAGTAGGCAAAACATGAAAGGGTGGCTTATCCTAGCTTATTAGCACCGTTACCCATTCCTGAAGGATCATGGCAAATGATTACATTGGACTTTATTGAAGGTCTTCCCAAATCCAAGTCCTACAATTGCATATTGTTAGTAGTGGACAAATTTTTGAAGTATGCACACTTCTTACCTTTATCCCACCCTTTCACTGCTCTCCATGTGGCTACAGTTTATATGAACAATATCTTCAAACTGCATGGATTACCCGAAGTTATGATTTCTGGTCGTGACAAGGTCTTCACTAGTCACATCTAGCAAGAATTGTTCAGACTTCTAGGAATTGATCTTCGTATGAGCAGCACCTATCATCCTCAGACCGACGGCCAAACCGAATGGGTAAATCAGTGCCTTGAAACTTATCTTCGTTGTTTTGTTCATTCATGTCCCACTCGATGGTCCTATTGGTTGCCACTTGTTGAGTATTGATGTAACACATCGTTTCATTCCTCACTCAGCAAGAGCCCCTTCCTAGTTCTTAATGATCATGAACCACGTCACTTTGGAGTGGACATCTCACAATCTTGCTAAGTTCCACACCTGCAAACCTGGCTACATGAAAGGGAACTGATGCAGCAACAAGTGAAGCAACACTTGTTTCGAGCTCAGACAAAGATGAAGAATCAAGCCGACAAGAGAAGATCATTTCGGACATTCCAAGTGGGAGATCAAGTCTATCTCAAGGCTCAACCATATGTACAAACCTCACTGGCCCCAAGATCCTCCAACAAGTTCGCATTCAGATTCTTCGGGCCATTCAAAATACTGGACAAGATTGGATCCATGACTTATCGTTTGCAGCTGCTAGATGGTTGCTATATTCACCCCATTTTCCATGTCTCCCAACTCAAACGGGTTGTCCCACCTACAGCAGCTATAAGTCCTGAACTACCTGATCCCGCTAATGAGTTGTAGGTTTCTGTGGCTATCTTGGATCGTTGCCTCCACCAGCAACGCGACTCCATGATCCCACAGGTGCTGGTGCATTGGTCTCACCTGCCGCTCGAGCTCTCCTCATGGGAAGATGAAGTCGCTCTTCGCAAAGAGTTCTCTAAGGCACCAGCTTGGGGACAAGCTGGTTTTCAAGAACGGGGAGATGTCACCACTGAAGATATCGCTGCTGAAGAAGGAGAGAAGACTGAAGGAATTGAAGCTGGGAGTTTACCGACGAGCAGGAACACTGGGCCGACGAAGGTACTGAGCAGGCCTCCAAGACAGAAGAAGGCGAACGTGAGGCTTACTGGGCTAGAGTGGGCTAAGTAGAGAGGGACCCTACGTGGCCCAAAGCGGGAGGCGGTCCAGGCAACCCCTTCATGTATCGCTGAGCGAGGAGAAGCAAACTTGAACATGAACACATCTCTAAACCGTGCCTGAGGGCGGCGGCGCGGCGGCGGCGGACACAGCAACTGCCGGTGTTCGAGTTCGTGTATCCACCAAGTACTATCCTAATTACCAATAGATTACTTGTTCCGGTTACAGAACAAAATAGTATCCTTCTTGGTTTTGCACCCTACTGATGCATTGGGTTGGGTTGGGTTGGGTTGCGAAAGGAACAAAACATGTCAGCATGCACTACTACTTCCTTAGACAACGTTTACGTCTAGCGTACACTCAGCAAACATACCGCCAAGAATGTTCTTAACTAGTTTAGTTTTATCTTAAACATCATATATTTCAAAGCACTGTGGGAATGTATATATCAAACAAATCAAAATTTATCATCACTAGGACGGTACCCTAGTGATTGATTACAAATGTATGGAACTCGTGTTCAAAGTATAAAAGCAAGAAGTAGATAGAGCGTAGTTTGGTCATTACGTCATAAAACAACAAACTAATTAAGAACTAATTAAGCTATACCAAATTTTGTACAGAGTTGCCAAACACCAGAACAGGAGACATCTAAACTACACTTAAAGTGAAAAATCTACCATATTTTTGTACTTTTTACAGAGGAAAGGGTTTCTCCTACTTACTTAGAACAAAATGTGATAAAAAAAGTGAAGTTTTAACGCATTCTAGCTAGAGACGTACAGAGATCTAATTTTGTTGGAGGGTACAGACAACAGAGAAGCGGGAAAAGGATCAGTCTCAGGCAATTCTCACAGGCCCAGAGGATAGTTGCAACCGTGGGCTCAGTTAAAGTTGCAGAAAACAATTGGGCTAGGCTAATTTGCCAGAAACCAAAAGGAATGGGCCATCTCTTTCCAGTCTCTAACGAGAGCAAAGGAACCGTTAAGAGGGAGTCCAATGGGCTCAACCATTACGAGGGAGGGACAGACGATGAGGTGGATCCAGGGCCAGACTCAATCGTGGGCTCACCATCGAGGCCACCAGAAACCGAAGCCCATTTATAATAGAAGCCGGCCTAGCACCCCTGCTGAATGCAAGCAAAACTAGCGTGCAGTTGCAAAAAAAAAAAAAAAAAAACTAGCGTGCAGTCTATTCTCTGGGGTCCCTGAATCGTGGAGCGAGTCTGCAAGAGCTACAACTACAGACAATGTCATCCACATGTACCGCAGTATTGCAATTTGCAGTGGAGGTGCATGGGTAGTCCCTGACACGTGGATCCCATCTCGCACCTGGTCTATATGTCAGTGACTGTGGATGCCCTTGCTACGGAGGAATAGGATGAGCAGGCCACGGTTGTGGCGGCCGGAAAAGCAGTGGCCAGTGTGCGTCTGTGTGCTCCTTTTTACGAGCAGTAGTATTTCTGATCTGATGATCAGATGATGAATCCGGTGCTCGGAGGGCATCTGAACTCGGATCTCGCGAACTGAACTCTGCTGCCAGAACTACTTGTGCTAGTAGTAGTAGTAGAACAACTGAACAAGCCAGCGCGTCATGTCTCATGTGTGCACTGTACTTAAACTTATTACTACGACTGAATATAAAACTGGCCATCTTCTTCAAGCTGCTACTAGCTGCCAAACAGTCTGACCCAGAAAGTCAAGATTAAATTATTACTGGCACGCAGGACCGGAATATAGCACTCACGCAGTAGGTGACAAACGAGTTGCACGCTAGCTAGCTGACAGGGTGACGTGGCTTACGAGCCTCTCGTCCCCTCTCCTCAGAAGCCGACAAGGCAATTATAAAGCTCTCTTTGGCGGTGTCCAAGTCGGCTTATTCACTCTGTTCGTGCACTGGACCAGAAGCGGGTGAAACTGAAACCAGGGCGTGTTTGTTTGCCTGGCCAAGCTCAAGAGATGCAAATCACTTGTTTGTTTACCTGGATTTCGTTGAAGCCCGTGCAGCACAGCATCCAAAGCGCCTCCGACGTGGGTGCAGGTGGTTGGTAAGTGTAGCTGACATGTGGGCCCTCCAGCGCAGCGCAGGCAAACAAACAACATATGTGCAGATCAGGCCCAATAGATAAAAACCACCAAATAAAGAGAGGTGCACCAATCTAGCCGTCTGAGAATAGCCAGACTCTGCTCGTCCGTCTAAGCCAGCTCAGGGCATGCAAATAAACAGGCCCCTAATTCATCTTTGTAAAGAAAAAATAGATCCTCTCATTGCTTGCCCTACATCTACAGTGTTTAAAAAGGGGGAAACCCAAGTGAGGAGGAGCCGTGCCAAAGAGATACAGGCTCTAGAAGTAGAACACTGTCGTATTGCTACTGCTGCCCCATTAATTTTTATTGGGGTGCGGATGGAGCAGTGTTTTGCACACTACCCTACCCCCTTGCCCTTGGATCCATCGCTAGAATTCTGGGCCGGTTTCGTGTACACGGGTGAACAGTGTGGGGGTCCTGTGCACGCCTGGCTCTGCCTGCCTGCATGCGCCGGTGCGCCCGCCCACGGATCCCCAGTTCCCCACCCACCTCGCCGGCACATGCCTGCCTGGCGCAGCCATACCGTCGCCGCCCTCGACTCCGTCGTCGTCGTCTCCCTCGCCACGCCACGCGCCCACGCTGCCACGCAGGCGTAGCCGCCCTGCCTGGCGCAGTGGCCAGTGGCGCCTGCCACTGATGCCTTTCGGGCCGGCGGCGGCGGGAACCAGAGATCGTCGATACAATACCGACGGCCCAGATCGGCCAAGGGAAAGAATGGAGGAGCAAGCGCGCGAGAGAGATGGAATAATGGATCCCGATTGCTTTTGCCGGCCGTCACTTCCTGCGCGATCAAAGTTGGAATTAACCGGCAGCCATTAGGGTCGCGATTGAGTTCGCGGTGACGTCGGCCTCCACTAAGCAAGTACCGTACACTGCACTACACGTCGCGCCCGAGGCCCGGCGCTAATTAAGCTAGGTTTTGTATGTTATCTTCCGGGCATAAGATAATCGTCTTCCAGGTAGGATCCATCGCGCAATCATGTGCGCTAGTTTATGCTAACTACATTCACACACCTTGCGATTAGCAACTTAATATTAACAAACGGCGCATCTCACCAGGAGTGATCGAGGAGTCCAGGACAAAACAGAAGCTTGTTTTTTTTTTCTGCTTGCTGCTGTGAAAGAGAGAGAGAAACTAGTAGTAGTATTACTCCTGAGTAATAATCACATTTAGGTCCTGCCGTAACACCCTGTAAAACTCTTCCCAGCATGCACCCTGAAGCTTCTCCAAATCGCAGAGGCCGCGCGCGTAGTATGTACAGCCCGGGCGCCCGGCACGCTGACCGACAGACGGCGGAGGAGCTAGGCGCAGAGGGCGCCGAGCTCCTTGAGCCTTGGCACGAGGCGGCCGCTGAGGTGGAGGCCCATGAGGCCCTCGAGTCCCCCGACGGGGTCGCCGCCCACGAAGAGCGCCGGGACGCCGGCGCCCTCGGCCGCCGCGAGCTCCTCCTCCTCCGCGGCGCCGGCGTCCAGCTCGATGACGGTGGCGTGCGCGCCCACCGCCTGCAGCAGCCGCTTCATCACGTGCGCCATGCAGCAGCCTCGGCGGGCGAAGATCACCAGGGGGCTCTCGCGGACCAGACGCCCCACGCGCGCCGCCGCGGGCTCCTCCTCCCCCGCCGGGTCGATGGTCAGCCCACGACGGATGCCCACCGCCTGCATGCCCTCGACCTGCCTCTGCCTGCTGCTTAAGTGCTGATTAGGAGTAGCTAGAGCCTAGTGCTTAGATAGAGGACGGCAACGGACCGGGACGGGACGAGCTCGATCGCCTGGCGGCTGGGGAGCGACGAAAGGGGGACGCATATATAGCCGGGGCGGCAGCGCGGTGCGGCACACCACATGGCCCCCGGCATATCGGCGGGCCGGGTGGGTGACGTCAGGCGGGCGGTGACGGGGAGGCGTGGGGCCGGAGGTTGCGTCACGTGGCCGGGCCGGAAGGGGAGGCGCCACGCCGCGCTACGAAGCGGAGCGGGTGGTCAGCAGGTCAGGTGATGACAGGTGAGCACTGAGCTTGAGCTGATTTTTTTTTCTCCTCCGCGCCCGCGGGCTGCGTGCGTCTGAGTTGGATACGGGCCGGTCGAGTCATTCTAGTGGAGGAGGTGACGAGAGAATCTCCTTCAATCTGCGTGCAAGGGCAACAAGCCTCCGCTCGAAATTCGACTGTACTATGATTCTCTTCTTCGTAGATATCGATCCATGGCATATTGGCATAGCAGAGACTCTCGTACAATGGATTTTGAAGGCTGAAGCGACGCGAAGGCCGGTGTTTCCGAGACGGACATGGCGTGCCAACTGGGTTTCGTCAAACAAGAAACGTACTTGCACTGCATGCATGCGTGTCCCAGCAGTACTCCCAGTACGTCAGCACGACGGGAGAGCAGCGCCCGTGGCGTCATCACCCACGCACGCTGCCTCGTGCGGTGCGGCGTGGCGCGGCCCGGCCCGCGAGGCGAGCGCGCGGCGCACCGGACACGTGCCGCGGCGGGCGCCCGTTGACGTCGCTGTTGGTTGATTCCTCCGCTCCCGTCGTTCCCCGCCGCCCGGGGCACCCAGCCGGCAAGAGCCCACAGGCCACAGACCAGGTCCAGCCCAGCCCGAGGAGGCGACGTGAACGGCGCAGATTCGCCCGGGTCGGCATCGCGTGTCCGCCCGGCGGTCTCCCCTTCCGATCCCATGGCGCTTGTGTGCGTGGCCATACGTGACGGGAGTACCGGAGGAGTACAGTACTAAAGGGCACGGGCCACGGGTGTCTGACCGCAGATCCGGTGCATGCGCCGTGAATCGTCGGCAGCCGAAACCCAAAAGAACGAAGCAAAGGCAGGTACTCCGGTCAGCAATACCGGCTGGCCGGCCAGCACCAGGACCGAGACTACTAGTAGAGTGGACTCGATCGGATGCATCATGCATGCATGCCTTTTACGTCAAGCCGGGCCTTACGATGTGATGCACATGTGACACGTCATCGCCCACATGCATCTGCGTCGACCTCGATCATGCATCACACAGGTTCTCGACAGGCGATCGGACGGCAGAGACGTACGTACACCGTCCGCCCGGTAGTAGTAGTAGTGTAGTACTATAGTAGTGTCGTAAGTGTATCTAATAACGACAAAGAAAGTTAGCATGTGTTTGATTCCGAGACCAATGAGGATGGGTTGGACCAATCTAGTTTTTTTTTTTTAGGTTAAACCCATCTCGTGTTTGGTTACGGGGACGGGTTTGTCCCAAGTTTTCTGTTTGGTCGGGGATAAATAAGATGTGCGTTCAGATTCCTGAGACATGGGTCCCGCACGTCATCCTCTTATCCCATCTTCTTCCCTGGTCCATACTCTGCTCGTACCCGTATGCCCCCAACCCGACGTGCCACCGCCCGTACCTCCTCCGTCCGCAGGAGCCAAACCTCCGGCGAGCAGCCATCCTCCGCCCGCGCCTCCTACCTCCACCCGCAGAAGCTCTGCCGCTACGCCCCCATCTCCGTCCGCGGAGCAGGATCTCCGGCGAGCACCCCGCCGTCCGCGGGAGCCGGACCTCGGCCCGCGCCCGAGCTCCGCCTGCAGCCGGACTCCCTCGGTGCTCGACTCGTACCTCCATGGCGGGCGGCTCCCTCAGCTCGGTCTTCCCCGAGCGTCCCGACGGAGGAGTGCCGCGCCGCCCCGCGCTGGCGCGACCCCGGCCGGCGCCCGACTCGGTCTTCCCCGCTCGGCCTCCATCCCCCCGCGCGCCAGCTGCTTCCTCCACGTCATCTAGGTCGGTTCCGGTTTCTTCGATTTGGAGGGACAGCGAGAACCCGGATCTGGGCATATTTCTTTGGGATGACCCCAACCCAGAAGTATGGCAACCAAATGCAACAAAATCGGGTCCAACACGCTCCGACCCAGTCGGACCTCCCATCCAAACACACGATTAGAGTCTCAAGAACCAGTGCGTTCATAGGCACCAATATTATCTATCTATCTATAAATATAAACAAAAAGGAACATTAATTTGTGACTAGTGCAGCTACAAGCATACGTCGTCACGGCTGACATATACACACCATTCCAATCGCTTCTAAACTATTGCCCTTCGATCCGATACATCGACCGGTACGTGCTGCATCTTTATTTGTTCTCCATGACTCCATTCGCAATTTGCTACCGTACCCCTGCTGGCGCATGCACAATTCACACAAACATGCGTAAAAAAAGCAAGGATATATGAGATGTCTGATTGCACTGGGATTAATGTAATACGAAATAAATAAGTAAATCCAGTGGCATTGCTTCGTCCAAAACCCAACCACATGCATGATGCATGTGACGGTGAGGCGGTGGTGGTGGGCAATGCCGGAATGATGGCCCATCAGGGGTTACGCTTACGCGCGCATCGGCACTGCCACTGCCCACAGCCCACTGCAGTTGCAGCTAGCAATTGCCTCCTCCACCGGCACGCGCGTCCATCCACTGGAGGCGAAGCTTAAATGGCCGTAGTTTTCTTATCTTGTGGGCGACCCGCGACACATTTGGTGGAAAGCCCGCGCTTTTGGTGCTGATTTGCCGCACTAGCTTCAGGAGATAGAAAGAGTTTTAGATTGATTGGTTGCTTCGTGTGGTGCGGCAATGGCACTGCTTGCCACTTGCCAGTAGTATATGCGCCATTGTCGTCAGCTATCATTATATATTATTACTAGTATTATATTTTTGCGTGGTATAATATATAGTCCTGTGTGTATATGTCTGATGGCTCTTAGGTTGCATGCATGTTCCACGGCTCTATCTGCTGCTACAGCTGGCATTCGCGCGTGGTGGAGAGGGATCATGGATCCCTGCTGGTCCCGAGAATCCATGAATCTTCTTCCATCGAATCGAATCGAATCTCCCTGGAATATATCGTTCGATCAGCTGCACGTATGGATCGGATCGAGAGATAGGCTCGAGTCAACCCCCTGCCCCCTCTCTACCTTAGCCGGGTTGTCATCACCATGCGCCACCACCAGTGGCCATGCATGCATGTATTGAGTATTATTGAGTAATGAGTGTTGACGTTGTATGCACCACCACCAGAGGCCAGAGCTCCTCTCGTTCGGCCTCGACTGCGTGGTGCTACGTACTAGCCACAGTAGCCCACTGTCATGCATCGTGGGCCGGGGGATGCGCGGGGAGGCCTCGCTCTCTGCAACCACTGCCCCGGTATATATATATTCCATTCTTCGGAAAGGGAAACCCCAACCTTTCCAGCAGAGCAGATCGAGCTTCCCAAACTGGTTTCGTCGCCAGCATGCATGCATGACTACAGCCTACAGGTGCTGGCTAGCGTACTAGTAGCTCTGTAGCTTTAATTTGGTTTTGTACTGCAGAAAAGCTTCCGTTTGGATGGACATGGACTCTACCACCACCAGGCACTCAGCCTGTTCGCTTGCTCGTAAACGATCGTAAATTTCCAGCCGGGAGCAGTGTTTTTCTCTTACACCAAACCAGCCAGCAGTAAATAATCCACGATACAATACGGCCTCCCGAACAGGCTGACTAGCCACGTACCAGCAGTAGAGTACTCGTAGTAGTATATTTTACTCGCGCTTCTTGTCCATGTTCTCGTTCCGCCGCGCCGAGACGCGCGGCGGCCACATGCATTTGGCTGGGCCTCCACGCACGCACGTACGCCACGTCCCGTGGTGCTGCAGCCTGCGAAACCCATCCATCTGAATATCTGATTGCCAAGCGTGTCTCAAATTAAAAAAAAAATCTGATTGCCAAGCCACAGCAACGCTACAAGCTGTCAAGCTCTCCACCACCGTTCACTCCTCGCGTGAGATTGGAGGGAAAAGAAATGAAGCCCGTAGTCCTGATATGTGTTTTGTGCTGGGCTGAACTTAGAGGTCGTGCGCGGCCCAACTGATACGATGGTAGGGAAAATAAATGAAGCCCGTAGTCCTGCTATGTATCAGGTACCTCGATCCCCCCGTGAACTGATCATAGATCAGTTGGTTAGGTTTTTTATGGTAAAATCAGTCCATCCGGTTTGAAGTCCTCTCGGTTTGGTACGGGTGCTCGCATTTTTTTTTATTTATTTAGAATTTAACGGCGCTATGCTTTCAGTGGTAGCCGACGTGCGTGTTGTGGGCGTCTGCGTTTGTACTGTGTAATTCTAAAAAAACCGATGCACCTCTCGCGGTACCGGAAACCATGTCCTTCTCAAAAAATAAAAAATAAAAACACATCGGAAACCATGTAATTCGATGACACAAATCAACTTTGCTCGCATCAGAGCTTCTGCCAAGCTTTTGTTTTTTTTAAACTACAATAGTTACCATACCAAGAATCTAAATCAAATTCCGACTGCATCATTAAATATATTTCTTAAAATGAATTCTTCCAAACAAGACGATGTTTGGTTATACTTGGATAACAGTTTGCCTAATAGTATTTTTCTAATGACTTTCTATTAAGCAGGATGATGTTCTAGGCCCATCGAAAACATGTTCTACATTTAATTTACAACAGACATATTTTTAGGCTCTGGAGAATAAGAGTCTATATCACGGAATATCGTTCATCCAAATCTACAATTTGATTCTCCTAAATCTAGAATCCTTTTCTCATGAACAAGTAATAGAAAATTTAATTGTAATAAAAAAGAAAACAAAACATAAAGGATAAACTATGGAACATCTCCTAGATAATGTG